TACAACTATGATGGATAATTGTAATTAGATTTTGAATGCAATGGGTTTCACACAAGAATTGTCATTATGCATTCTACGCTTACTTCTGTTGTAATAAGCTACATTTCTAGAGCATGAAGAAATTAAGAGACACCGTGAGAAGCAGGTGTGTTCAGCTGAGAACTATTAAAAGGAGATGTGCTTGTTGGGTATAATAGCTTTCTCCGCTTCCTAAAAATTCTTACATTTTTAATTCTGATAGCACCAGTGCATATACCAATTGTTCTGGTTACAGATTTATGGCAGCTGTGCATTTCATCATTACCTCCTGCTTGCTTTCCATGAAATGCTTGTTAATTTACAAATTAGAGAAAGCAAGAGATGCTTGCTGAATCGAACATCAGATCCTTAAGTCTTGCTGTTTCATAGTTTCTCCAACATTACTTCATCTAACTTGTTTCCAAATGTGTACTAATTAAGTTTTAAATGTGGTGCGATTATCTCAGCAACTAATGATATTCTGTTGTCATAATACTTACTATACCAAGCCAATATATGCAGTTGAGGTGACTTCCATGTTCAACCCAGCATGTTGCAATGCCATTGGTGAACCAAAAGGTACAGAGAGCAATCCAACATTCTGAGAGAGAAATCAGCAAGAAATTAAGCACAGTGAAGTTAAATAACACCCTGAGCATGACCACTTCTTTGACAATTTATCACCTGACCTGCATTTATTTTTTGGAAGCGAAGTTTTACTGGACTGGATTCAATAATTTAATATTTATATAATCTCACTGTACTTTGTTTCTTTATAAAATACTTATTATATATTCAGTGAATGGGGAAAAACTTGACTGCCTTAAGGCATATCCATAGTTTGAGTGGAGTTAAGATCAATTAAGGACACATTCAAGATGCCAGAACAAATTCAAACACGCAAGTCAGTTGGGGCTATAAAATAGCTCATTATTTGGTAAACAAGTAAAAAGAAAAATTCTTTCAAAAATATGTCAATTCCTTTGAGCAGAATGTTGGTGGAGACGGTTTGGAAAATCTCAGTATTTGACAAGAGGGATGAGGGGAGATTGGTAAATATTATTAAAATAAGTTTGTAAAATATCTAATGTTATTTAGATATTTTCATTTTAAAAAGTATTTTTAAAGTTAAATGTGATGAATCAAAAGTTGTTGGTTTTGTAAATACAGTACTTGAGTTTGATTTGCAAGTCTCCAACTGAAATCCCTCAAAGTGCTTCACACAAAGATTTGGTTTGAAGTGTTGTTATATAGCCAAATATAACTTCTAATCTGCCCCAGCAAAATCCAACTGTCAGGAATGAGCTGAATAGCCTATTAATCTGAATAGATAACTTTTTCTACAAAGAAAATTATGACAGAATTCTGTAAGTAAATATTGATTCATTTATAGCATATTGCTCTTCATACAACGTTTGGAAATAGGTACTTAAAGTCACGTAAACTTGTTAGAGTGCATAAGAGAGTTTCTCCTGGTGTCCTGGCCAAGAATCCTCCATACAAAATTGGTCATTCATTCATTTCATGGCCATTTGTGGGATACTGTTGTGCACACATTGGCTGCTGTGTTTGTCTACAAATACAGTCACGTCACTTTACATTAAATCCTGTGAAGCACTTTTAGATGTTCTGAAGACAGGATAAGGCATTATATCAAATGCAAGGATTATTATGATATTATTATTAATATATAATTAGCAAGGACATTTCAGTAAAACAGCAAGGCAATGTTTGTGGTCTTAGAGGTTATCTTTTAAAATAGAACTTCAAGGGAACATTCGCCTTCAGAATGGCATCCAGAGAACAGCCAGCTATGAGGGCGCTAAACAGTTAAAAAGTGCACTGAGCAGATATTCCCTCCTAATTCTCTGCAGCTTTTTGGAAGAAACAGCCCATCTGTTGTTGGCCTCTCCAAAGAGATGAAGCACTAACCTTGTGAGGGATCACAGATACAAACACTTGGACCTCCAAGCAAAAGGACACACCACCACCAATTTACAACTGTGCTGCATCACAAGATTGCACTTATGAATAATATTTTAACTCCAAATGGACACCATGGACCATAATAAGAAAGCGTTAAACAATATTTATTCACTAAATAAACTAAAAAAGCAACGTTTTACTGCAAGTATTATTTTGATAAATTTAGCAACTGGAATACCAAATTTCTTTAATTTGTGCTAACATTTCTTCAGTAACTGCTCTCACACTCAGAAAAACCTTATTACCTGATTTTTTGTGTATTTACCATTTATGATCATAGGCTCTGTCAATAATTAAACAATGAATTTTCCCCTTGTTATTTTTGCCATATACACCATTCATTTCCCCTCTTTTTCATACAGTCCCTTTGTGGATTGAGAGAAAGAGAATACAACAACAACAAATTAAATTTGTATAGGGCGTTTCACATCAGCATGCATCCATGGTCAATTTTGTTAGTTCCAGCTAGAAAGCAACAAACAAAACTACTTCACAGCCTTGATGTGTCAACATTGTCTTCCTAAAACCCCAACAAACCATCATAACAAGTTGTTACACACAGTAGCTTGAAGTATTGGATCCCAGCAGAACTCAGTGGTTCTCTCTAAAAACAGTATGTCCATTCCTCTCATTGATTTTTTTTCTAGAAAACCTTTAATACGGTTCAATCTTATTTAATCATAAAGATATTGCAAGGATGAAAATACAAGGATTATTATATCACACTAAAAATCTCAGCAGCCTTGTTTCCTGGGACACTCTAGACTATTTCCAAGCAAACAATCACTAACACATTGCTATGATAAGCTTATTAACATAATGCATATTTCTGTTCCCTAAATACTAGCCAATAAATGATGCTGTAATCTCAAGATTCTTCAGAAATATTGTATGCAAGTAATATTCACAGTAGAGATTATATTGAATGTGCATATTATGCTAAACAGATTATAATTCAAATACTATAATAGCAATTTTATAATTTTTGAATTCACTTCTCTCAACACAAATTAATTTACATATGTAGTCAAAAATTTATATTGCAGTTATACCATACACAACCACATGAGGTGCTATTGTGCTAGATAACCAACAAATCAACTACAAACATTGGAGCATTACTACTTCTTAATTTGCTTTATTACATTTTTCATTTTAAAATATCGTTTTTATTATTAAAGTTGCTCAATAGCTGCTCATAAAAACTGCATAATTAATTTATATACTTCCAATCTTCAGTGAGGCTTTCTGTGGTTCTATGATCTTCATCACCTCACTCTAACATGAAAGATGGGCAAAGACCACAACAACTTCTGAAAAAGCAAAACAGAAAATCATCCAGATTTCCATCCAAACCAATCCTGAATAACAATCTGTATGGCTTCAAAATTCAGTTACAGCCCAATGTGCAGAGTGGGACCCATGTCAGAATTTTGAGCTTTCCTAGGGACCCAGTAATCATCAGAGGAATAGCTCTCAGATATGTGTGAAGATCAGAAATGGAATGTCTCCATGGGGAACACAAGCAAATTAAATGCATGAGTACCCTATGCCTGATTTTGATTGCATTTTTGAATACCTATTTGTTGTGGAAAGGAAGTGGGAAGAGTACCTTACACTTTACGCTTAAATTACTTTAACCAGAAATATTGATCTTTATCATAAGATCATTAGCTTTTTTGATATTCAATTTAAAAATTAGATAGGTAATCTGGCAGCTTTCAATCATTGAACTGGATCTTTTGCCATATCATTACCAAGGTACATTTAATGAGCAAAGCATACTAAAAGTCTGTAGCTGCTACATTTTACGGCTTCTTTATCTGCTCCAACTGCACATTTTACTTTGCTATTATCAACTGGCCATGCAATATCAGGCAATTTTTTTAAAAAAAATCAGATGCACCAGACAAGTACCTTTGTGTACCTGATTTTACGTTTTTAAAATCAGAATTACAACTTAATCATGCCTATTATTATTATTATTATGAAGAAGTGTTTTTCTGTGGTACCTTTAGATATTTTTGGTTGTCCCATCTTTAATGAAAATTACTTCTTCAGAGAGTCAGATTTGTTAAAAAGTTGCATTAATCAAACATACAAAATCACAAGCTGTTAATCAAAGGGTTCTAGCATTCTCTCTCATCTTTTGATATAATTTCTGCCTCACTAAAAGTACTTTAATAGAAATACAAATAGCAGCTGATGAACTTCAACTGTCTCCTCCCCACGCATCAGTGGAGTGTTTAAATTTGATGTACCACTGAACACGACAACTCACATTTTGCCAGCACACTTACGTTCTCTAAAATTAAACAATTAGCAAGCCAAGGGTTTTATGGGTGATAAATAATTCATCTGCAGAGAACATGGGAACATTAATCAATTATAAACTGTGAAAGAAATTAAGTCAAAAAGAGAGTGATAGTCCAATAATTCTATTATTAAGCCTGTTAGAGGTGAAGTTTGTATAGCTTGTTCAAGGAAAATAATTGTGAAGTTGTGTATTTGATTAACTATTACAATGCTTTCTTGAGCTAGTCTTGGTAGAACAAAACAATGTCATCCACCAAATGAAGATTGAAGTGGATTCATTGTTAAATGACATCTAAGACTTTCATCAGCTCTTGCACTGTCAGTTCCTGATCGTGCTTCATTGACTTCTCTTTTCGAATGGTGGGCATTTTCTTCAGAACGTTTCAGCTAGCAAGGTTAAAAAAGGCAACTTTGAACTGCCATTAAAAAACTGTTAAATATTTAAAATATTCTTGTATATAATAATAATCCTTGCATTTGTATGCGAAGGTTGGTGTGTGTGTTACTTTTGTGTACCCTTGGATATGAAATAAAACAGTAATACACTGATACATGTACATAATGACTTAATTACAGACAAGCTGGCTAAACAGCCTGATAATGTTAAGACAGACATACTGTATAAATATGCAGATGACAAACACACAGACATTAGGGAAGATTCTTATCCAAATCATTACCTTCTGTGTCAACATTTTAATTTTTTCTTGAAGATTTCTATTGCTTTGTAAATGTTTGTTATTTTCTGCTTCCTTGACTGCTACCTCTTCCTGCAGCTGTTTAATCATCTCTTGTTGTGCTTGAAATTTCTTTTTGTTGCTGGTTTGCTGAAATGCAAAAATCAGAGAAAATAATACAATATAAGTACATTTCCATTTGTATAGTGAATATAGGTTACATACAACAACAACTTGCATTTATACAGTGCCCTTCATGCGGGGTAGGGTCCCAAAGCGCTACATTCCAGTTTTCTCACTAATTCACAATAATGTCCTGTTGGTTTTTAAAAGATCTTAAAGATCCTGCCACATAACAATGGGAACACAATTGCAGGTTTCTTGATTAGTTCGTGGCAAACCTGGACTGACTGAATCAGATATTCAACTGCAATTTACATCAACTCTATTTACAGTTATCACTAGAAAGCCAACTGCATAAGATGAATCCAAGTGCTAGAAAGCACACAGCCAGTACTGCCAATATCTTCCAATTAGATTTAACAGATTTAAAAGATATTTTATGTAATCACAGATTCAAAAATATAGTAACTATGGGTTCTATCTACTGTGAATTGTGTATCTTTGGGCTGAAAGTCAATCATCACATAAATTGGGAAAAAGGTAATCCACACCTGAACATCATAACTATGCTTCAGGATTGACCCCTCTCGATCAATTTTCCCCTCCCTACCCCCCTCCCCCCACCACCGTTCAGACCTCCAGCTCAGGTGCCAAGCCAAGATTCTTAAGCATCTTGGGACATCCTCCAAAAGTGCCATGTGAATGTAAATTTGCATTGTATAACTATCATTGGAAAAAAGTAGAATAACCACAGAAGCTAGGCACTATAAAATGTATTAATTATTCAATTACATCTAAGCTCAACTATGCCAACTCCCTACCTGTCGGCCTTCCCATCTCTTCTCCGTGACCCCATCACACCCACCCTCACCCGGCTCCACTGGCTGCCCATCCCTCAGACTATCAAGTTCAAAATTCTCGTCCTCACCTTCAAGGCCCTCCATGGCCTTGCCCCCTCCTACCTCTCTAAACTGCTAACCCCTTATCAATTTGTCCGCTCCCTCAACTCAGCAGGCTCCGGCCTGCTCCATGTCCCCCGCCCGGCCCGCCCCATTGGCGGTCGGGCCTTCAGCCTCTCTGCCTCCACTCTCTGGAACTCCATCCCATATTCCCTTTGCCTCGCTCCCTCCCTTGACGCCTTCAAGGCTTCCCTCAAGACCCTCCTCTTCGACCATGCCTTCGGCCACCCTCCTACCCTCTCTGCTCTCCACCCTTCCTGATCCCAACTCCCCTACCTGGGTCCTAATCCCTAAATCCTCCAGACGCCTTCCTGATGTGAAAGGCGCTCTACAAGTGTAATTTTGTATTGTATTGTAACACATTTTAAAAAAAGTAGTAATCGCACTGCAAATGAAACAATGCAGCAGTCATCGTATATGCATTTACAGATGTTATTTTGCTGCACAAGTAGTTAGTATATTAAGTCTGGTAAGTAACCATGCTCATCTGATGTGTCCCAAATATCAGATCCTGTTCACTGAGGCAGTCTGTTCCATATTTGACAACATGTGGTTCAGGAATCCCGACTACATTAAGTGATTTAACCTGGTCTGCAATGTTGTCGAAATTCATCACTAAGTAGCACAATTGACAGGAAGGTGTAAACTAGTCCTGGAGAGGCAATGAAGAGAAGAGTCATGAGAATGATGCCCAGCGTTTGAGCCATGAGCTATTAGCAATGATTAAACAAGCTAGGGCTCTTCTGTCTCAGAGGGGACCTTATAGAGATAGGCAAGATTTTAAATGGGATTGTGAAAGTACCTTCAGAATAATACATTCAGAAGCATCAAGACAGCAAACAAGAGGACTCAGATTTAGGGTTGCCAAGAGCAATTTTAGGATAGACATTGGGAAATATTTATTTACCTAAAGGTTAATTAACAGATGAAACACGTCAACAGGAAGGGTGGTTGAGGCCAGAGCATCGGATACATTAAAAAACAAAACAGCTCAATTATGTGATGGAACAAAGGATGAGATCAAATGAGATCAAGAAGAAGTGCCTTCCTCATCTGAATCGATCTCACAATCCAAAGCTCATCAACTCCAACTCAGTTGGCTGATTAGTGAGCAGAAACTACAATGAAGCCATACATCAGAAAATTTTCAAAACAAGTTACATCTTCTAGACCACTCGTATAGCAAAACAACAACTTGCTTTTACATAGTACCCTTTATGAAGGATAGTGGCATGGAGAGCGGCACAGTGATTTGACTACGAGCAAGGGATGGGGAGAGGGGAAGGCGACCATAGGTAGGTCTTAAAGTAGGTTTTAAAAAAAGAGAGGGTGAGGTGGAAGGAGTGAGGCACGGAGGTCCAGACATTAGGGGTGTGGTGAATGAAGGCATGAGGTCCAGGAATGTGCAGCAGGCCGGTGTCAGCTGTAGCTCAAATTACAGGCATCGCCCATTATCTATCCAGAATGACCAACATTCCATGGATAAGTGCTCCAGGACGCTACCCAGCATGATAAATATAAATATAAATGTAAACTGTTGTTGTTGGATATTATTTAATAATAATAATCCTTGCATTTGATATAGCGCTTTTCACATCTTCTAGACGTCTCAAAGCGCTTCACAGAATATGCTGTAAATTGAATTGACTGTATATTTTTGGGCGAGAAGCAGCAGCCGATTGCGCACAGCAGTGTCCCACAAACAGTTGTGGATTGAAAATGACCAGTTTATTATTGTTTGGTTTTGGAGCGATTATTATTAGGCATGTGGAGTAAGGAAACTTGCCCAAGGTTTCACCCTGCCTGGAATTGAACCCAGGTGTCTCGCTTGCAAGGCGAGTGTTCTAACCACTGAGCTACAGGACTCCATTTGGTGATTAGAAGGGATATGGGGCCTCAGATACAGAGGATAATACACAAAACAATACACATCTAGAAGACCAAGTTGAAGAGGTAAAGCAATTAAGGCTCTCATAGACTTAGTAGCTTGCAGAATGCTTAAACAGAAGGCCTGAAGATATGGACAGCACTAGTTTAATTGTTCAATTACACTCCTGAAGCCAGCCTCTCCCAACATTTAGATGAAATGAGTAGTAGAGCTGGTGGTACTGGGTGTATTGTTTTGCACTGGATCTCTTAGATTCTATTGCATTCGGAGGCTAGCCTATATGTCATTGCATCATCTCTCCTGTCGGTATTAATCTAAGTCAAGATCTCAGATTCAAGATGTTTCTGAGTTGCATCACTTTATCTATCAGGACAAGTAGCAAAACAATGCACTCAGCTAGCAGTGTAAAGATGCAATATTAATCAAATGAAATGAATGTTACTGGGCATAAACACAGTATATCTTTTACTTCAAGTTGTTGTATTTGACTTGAGCCTTCCCACCAAAAATAAGCAAAGGATCTTGCCAATATAGGTTTCATGTACTTTGGCCTGGATGGTTCAAGTGCAGCTCATAACAAATTCTCACCTGTCTTTGTTTCTACTTTTTAAGGCTCTGAGATGCCGCCCCTGCATGGAGGGCGCTATATAAGTGCAAGTTGTTGTTGTTGTTTGTTACACTTAAGTACATGCAACACTCAAACAAAATTGGTAAGAAGAAAAGAGGTCCAACCATGCCTTGTGTTTGGCTATGAATTTGTGCACCTCTATTGCCAGGAGAATAAGCAGAAAGAAATCCAATCCTTTTCAGGGCTTAAATCACCAATGTGATGTATACCTAGGGAGATATTATCTAGTTAAGTTAAGGATCTGATTCTAAAAGAACTGGATCCATAACATTTAGGTCAATCTGCCCTAGAGAGATGTTCATCATCAAAGTAAAAGACAGTGGAGCAATCAATAAATTGAACCTGTTTAGAAATTATCTCCTTTGAGATCATTGAGTTGAGGTTTATATAATGTAGAAAAGTATAATAGACAAAAGACAGTACAGGGAGGTTGATCCCACAAGGCAAAGAAGGAAACCAGATGCTCAAATCAGATTGATAGCTTGCATACTGCCCCTCGAGTCCCACTCCATCTCCTTTGCGCCCTGCTAAGTGTCAGTCTAGCTCAGTTGGTAGCACTCTTGCTTCTGAGCCACAAGGTTGTGGGCTCATGCCCCAAATCAGGACTTTGAGCTCAAAATCTAGAATGACACTCCAATACAGTGCCAGGAGAACATTGCATTGTCAAGAGATAACATCCTTCAGGGTTCAATTAAACCAGGGCTGCCTGTTCAGGTGGATGTTAAACATCCCATGGCATAATTGAAAAGATAATTCAGCCCTGCTCTACCATTCCTAACGTCCAGGTGTCTCTGATTTTGTGAGTCTATACATTCCACTTGTCCCTTTTGTAGTTCTGATTAGATGATGCCCCCAACCAACAGAATTATATAAAGCAGCACACCTTTCCGTGACTGCAGCAGTCTGTGAATCACTGGAGAAAAGACTCGGGAACAGTAATTACTGTGCGCACGTATCAGTTTGACACTTGGCCTTGGAAGCTGCACTTCACCTCACACATAACACCTAACAGAACATTCACAAGATAAAATGGTTCCATCAAACCATTCAAGGGATCAAATATCTTCAATTGATCCTTTACAATATTCACATTGTAATGAGATTCAAAACAATTTCAAACAAACAATCAGATAATCTCTGGTAATCCCAATACAGCATAATCAGCATTTTCTTATACACATTGGAACTACAGAACTTTATAAAGCACACAATAAGGGTTGGAATATCTAATTCTAAGTAAAGAGTTTTCAGTCTCTAATCAAAGAGTTAGTCTTTTAACAGTGTAAGATCTAGAGGAGGCTTCTCAAAATCTGTAATTGTGATGTTGCCTTGGTTTTCATCCTTAGGTCCTTTTATTAGATCATAAAGCAACAATAGTAAAATGCAGCACAACTGCACTTATTTGCTGTCCATACAGTTCTCAGATTCAAATTCCTCCATGGACTTGCCCAACCCCAGCTCCCCAGCTTCAACTACATGGACTTGGCCGTTCCCTTCGCTCAGCAAATACTGGACTGCTTCATGTCCCCACTCTTTTCACCCAACTATTAGGGAGGTGGGTTTTCAGACATTCTGCCCCAGCTCTCTGGAACTCAATTACGAAGTTCCTCTGACTAACTCCTTCCTCGTTCAAGGGGGAAGTGAGTCAGAGGAACTCCAGAGTTCTCAAAATATACTTTCCCCATCTTCCCCCTCTCCACCCCCATCGATTTCTACCCCTAGCTCAGATGCCCAGCTCGTCAAGCGCTTTGAAACGTCCTCCCAACGTGAAAGACGCTCTATAAATTTAAAGTGTGTTGTAAGTTGTACTGTATCTATTCACATTGGATAGAACTCAGGCTGTGATGTTAGCAAAAAATGTAACTTTATGTGCATGATTACCATGTTTACAATATTACTTGAGTAGAGCTGTAAAGTAGTAGCACAAATTGAAGTGATCCAATCTAGGTAAGCACAGGATTAGTCATACACAGAGACACAGACAGACAGATAGAGACATGTATATTCAAACACTTGATATCCACACATGATCACAATGGAGCTCATTTCCAATTAGTGCAGATTTTGCAACAGTACAATTTATTAGCAGCCTGATAAACGTTATCATAACAAAGGATTAAATGGCACTTTCTTCAGAGAACGAGCACAAATTTTGCAGCAAAAAGTATAATATTGGTTTGAGCGAACACATTGGAGCATGTCTATGTAAACTGCACTGAGAAGGTAGTTTTGGCAGCACATCATTGAAGTCTAAATGCAGGTATTGAGAATCGATTCAGGATTATCTCTGGGTATTTAAGTTATGAAATAATATGTACTTGCATTTGATATAGCGCCTTATATAGATCACATAACCAAAATTACACTTGTTCCGAACTCTCCTCAACCTATGTGATTAGGAACTGTAAATATAAATTAGGATTGCCACTGCAGTTTTACTACTGCAAACCATATTGTTTGAATTCCAGTAGTGTAAACATATAAAAAGTGTTAACCTTGTGTATTCAGACTCCTCCCTAGTGTACAAAAACTGTTTTTGGATTTTAAATACTCCACTATCCGGTCGGTGTCAGTTTACGTCGTAAAGACTCCTAACTATTATAATCCCAACTAATCTCATGGCACATTGCAACAGTTTTCAGTAAATTCCACACCTGTCTGCAATGAATATTAAAGGGTGTTGGGTATTAATGTAAGGTAATGAATTGATACACTGTTGGTAACTCTTTAAACTATTTTTAGGGTACATTATCATCCACCTGAAGCACCGAATACTAATCTAATTTACACCAGATTTCTTGAGTCACATTATTTTTCTTCCAATGTATAACCTGCACTTTATAGCACCTTTCATATAGTATAAAGAAGAGCTTCATAATACTTGCATTTGATATTTGATATAGCGCCTTATCACATCTTCAACACGTCTCAAAGCGCTTCAGAGAATGTACTGCAAAATGAATTGACTGTATATTTTGTGGGCAGCCAATTACTCACAGCAGTATCCCACAAATAGTCATGGATTGAGTGATCAAATTATTTACGCAGATGGAGGGTGAGCTCCAGTAGGGTGAGGAGAAAGGGGATGACTGGAAATGCAGTCAAAGAGATAGATTTTTAGAAGAGGTTTGAACAACTTTAGGAGGAAGCTCCAGAGAGTTTTGGTGGTGAGGGTGGTAAGGCAACTGAAAGTTTGCCCACCAAAGGTGGGCCAAAGACATAGGGAGGACAGGGGATAGGAGACATGCAGCAGACTTGAATTAGCAAAGCCTGGGGAGTAACATCTACCATAGTCAGTTAATATTCATGGTTGTATGAAAGGAGGCAATATTCCTCTTGGTACTCGGTATAGGATTTTTATGCTACTATATTTTTAAAATTCTAACCATACATTGGGATCGAAAGAGCACTCAGAGGGAAAAAAACATCATAAGTGACTCCTCGCAGATTGTCTTGAAACAAATTATTGCGCTTCAGCGCAACATAAATGGGGCTCCCTAGAGAAAATGCAATTTAGATACTGGGGCACTTTCACTATTTCTAGACTGCTGTGCCATTTCTGACAAGTGCTTTTCCAACCCCATTGTAAAAGTCATCTGGCAGATAGAATTTCATGCCAAAATACTCTTAAGAGGAAGAGAATTGGACTACCAATCTCATGGATTTGAAATTGTTAAAAATTAAGAAAATGCCACTCTTAATTTAAAATTATCCTGTGATGTAATAAATTATTTAATGTGCCATATCAGTAAATTGAAAATTCTGACACTCATTGTGCATACATTTTATTCAATATGGCATCCTTGACACTGTCTCTGATTGTCACTATTGAAATAAAAAGCTGAAATGCTTTATAGATTTTTACTGAAGATTTTATTCCTTCATATTTTGCAAACATTTAGATTTGATCGGGGTACAGGATGGTACAAACTCACCAGGTCTCAATAGTAACTCTACGGTGTAACGTCATGCTTTACTCATCTGTCTGATTTGTAAAGTTGGAAGCTTTAACATTTTAAAATTGGATGTGTTTTAAATTTCCAACTATTCCAAAGTTGGAAGGGGCATCCATTCACCCCTTTCAAACATACTTTGTCACAAAAGTTGGGCTCAAAAATGTCAGTGCTGCCACTGTAATTCCACATTACAGAATTTCAGTGCCATTTCATGGGATGGGTTCCACTCAGAGGAGACAAACGAGGATAGAGCCTTGAGGAACACCGCATGCAATGGTGGGTGTTGGGCGAGAGGAGAAGCTGTTGCCAGATACAGAGTGGAGACGTTGGGATAGGTAAAAATGAAACAGGGCAAGGACGGGTGAAGGTAGAGCTGAGAGGAAAGGCGGTGGAGAAGAGAACGGTCGAGAGTGTCGAAGTTTGCAGAGAAATCAAGGACGAGAAAGCAGAGAGACATGGCCACAGACTTTAACTAGAGCAGTCGCTGTACTGTGAGCATCGGGGAATCCAGTTTGGAGGCGTTCCTGCAGGGAGAGCAGGGAGAAGAAGGAGCAAAGCTGAGGAGCAACAACTCCTTCTAGTATCTTGGAGAAGAAAGCAGCGTTAGAGAACAGGCATGGATCGAGGGAAGGTTTTCTTGAGGATGGAGGTGATGACAGCCACTTTGAAGGGGATGGGAACTGTATGTTGGTGGACAAAGAGAGGTTGATGATGTCTGTTAGCAGAGGGGCAAGAAGGTGGAAAAGAGGAGACCAGGAACAGGGTAGGGATGGAATCGAGGGAGCATGTGGGGGCTTCATTTGAGAAATGTATATTAAGTAGGTTATTTCAATAACTTGCATTTATATTACACCCTTCACACAGGGTAGCATCTCAGAGCACTAATTTCTTTGAGAGGAGAGCTTTCATTTCAAAATATTGAACATGACAAGGTTTTGTGCTGCTTGATGATGCTTTGCTAAGTAATGAGTTTTAATAATTGCTTAACCAGATGCTATTTATAGTCATTTTAATTAAAATGTAATGCCTTTAAAATTGCTACCACCTTCAATAACATCTTTATATCAAATACACATCCATTGCTTAACTCATTCACTATAAGAGATGCCATCTGATGACATTTGCTTTGTAGTTTGTAGCTTAAAATAAATGTCAGGACAGCGTATTATTACAGCTGTACATTAAGATGTTGACTGTAGAAAGTAATATCACAATTACTTATGTGGTGAACAAATGCTTTTTCTAGCATACTTCATCTATTATTCTTGCATTAAAGAGTATTGTATTTAACAGCATTACTTAAGGAAATAATTTAGTTTTCCAACTTTGTAAAATGAACTTATAATGTGTTGATGAGTAAATTCAAAAAAATTAGCTACCGTTACATACACTGCAGGATAATGTGGCATTATTCTAATCCTGCATTTTTTATATAAAAATGCTGAACATTCAGAGATTTTGAGATTTCGGAAGAGATGTACACATGTGCAGTAAAAACAAAACAGTCATGAATGCAAACAGTCGTACAATTTAAATCAATTTTAAGTTCCAATAAACTGAAAGATCATATTGCATAAAGAAGATCATAAATTATGCAGTTCCTTAATCTAAGTAATTTCCTTCAAATGGGAGAATTAAGCATACCTCAGCTCTACTCCTTTCTTTTTCACACAATGCTTTATTTAGCTCCTCCTGGACATTTTGAATCATTTGGTCTCTTGCTACCAGTTCTGATTTTAAAGCTTCCAAGTGCGTTTTTGTGAGCTCCTCTGATTTTGTCCTAGTACTAGAAAAATACATGAAAATTAGAAAAGAAAGATGGAGGAATGAGATTAAAATAGCAGAGCAGGCTATGTGAGCCAGTGGTCGCCTCCGGGAACTATGTGATCCAAAACCAACCAATGCAATTTAACTTGTAAGAAATAAAGCTCACATCATTTTGTTACATTAATTAAAACAAGTTCTTAGGATTATACAATGCAAAAGTTCACAGCAACCACAGTTAAACGCTAGTTATATCATGCATAATCACAAAAGTTTTAAAAGCAAATATAATAAATATCTTGTCTTGTATTTCAGGACTATCCATTTCTAAAATAAGTGGAAGTTTGTTACAGAAATATACCTTAAATGAAAGTGGACTTAAAATATGATATTGCTCTGGCAGTCAGTGTAGTAACATAGAAATATCCGGCATCACATAATTGATAAGCAAATTCTACTACAAAGAATACATAAAATAAGATCAAAATAATTTGTGTGGAACAGCAATTCTATGAATGTGCTGTGCAATTTGTGATATCTTTAATTTTAGTCAACACAATCTAGAAGAATGGTAATGAAGTCTGAATACTGCTGATTAATTTAAATTTTGCACACAGTCCTTATCATCAATCCAAACTATGTATTGTGTTTTGAAAAATAGAGAATGAAAAGTGATCCATTAGTCCAATATTCTCAAGGTCATATATAAGCTGCATTGAACTTAGTCAATTTCTACCTTTACTTTCCCAGTAAAAAATACTTAAAGCCTTTCATTTGAAATGGTGCTAATATATTTTTGTTGCATATTATGAAACATTCAGAACTATATTTGGTTGGTATTATAATGAAAAATGTAAGGGTATTGTAAACAAAAAAGGAGAAATATATTTCTGGGTATATACGGCAATTGTAACATAGAAATACTTCCTATTCATAATAACTGTGAACTTCACACTCATAAAAATTACCATCATGAATATTGCATAAAACTAATAGCATAAACAAAGCTCGACACAGAACATAGCATTGTAAATTATATTGTCAGACTGACAAATGGTACTGCTGTCATTTTGTGCATCTGAGTGTCTAAACGATCATTCAGTGTTTAGTACTGAAAAGGGGAAACCCAATAGCTTTGTTGGCAATACATTTGACGTGTGATTTTTTCTGTACTGTCATTCTGCTATATTAGCACAGCCTAACACAATTAGGTATGAATATGCAGTAATAACATGCAAATTGTTCCCTCACAATTGCCTCGAGGCAGTGGTCTTTGCCTTTCTAAGCTCAATTCCTTCTACATCATTACAGCAGCCTGGCATAATTCATCAGAAAAATTGTTCAACCTTGTTGCAAGTGCCTAGCTAGTAAAACCATCAGTTGCTGTTAACCATTGTTTGACAATAGCATGTTAGTTACGCCATCCCAGTTCCCTGCCACTCCTGTACTTGTACACATCTCCCTTGGGTAATGTTAGACACTACATTGAGCCTGCCAGAACAATTAACCCCTCTGTTAATTAGAAGAAAATGTCAGCTGAACAGATGGTACAAGCTGGCACCCAGCCATCCAGCCAACTGCTACTGAAAGCAGCTATCCTGCTGCTGACAGCTGTTCAGTCATGTCCCAGACCAGCAGATGTCAAAACTTTCAAGCTGAGGAAGGCTAGAAATCAACAGGGAAGGGCCTAGGGTCTCAGCAGCTACAACAAACACTTCAAAAAATATTGTATCAATGACCTGTTGTTAGATTAGCTAATCTTACATAATCTTGGCACATAATAAAGTAACAAAATAATCTGTCATTCTGATTTCAAAGAAACCATGCTGAAGCTGGTAACTTTGCAAATTTCAGTATGATAAAATAGTGACTGAAAACACTTATAAGAAAAATGAGTGGTTGAGTTTACAAGTTTAGTGCTTCTCGGATATTACATTTGTAAACCCATCTGTTCAATCAGTAAACGATAATGACAATTTTCACCAAACAGGATGTTCTTCAGAATGGGAAAATAACTGCAGCACAAATAACATAGATGTGCAAGACATCAAAAAGTCATCTGAAGAAAACAGTACTCAATAATACCTTCAGCAAATCCTTAGGAGGTGATGTAGATCTGGTGGAATGACCTTTTTTGACTGGGTTTGCTAACTACAAGGGAAAAATGGACGGCATATTCAACAAGCAACTTTGCCAATTTTTTTTGAGAATTTGAATGTGCGACTGCCCTTTTGGGTCTATTTGATCCAACTCCAAGATGAGAATTGAATGTCAGAATAGAATTTACCCTCTGTGGCAGTCTCAGTAGCTTGGTTCCTGAACCAAGTAGGTCCACAGTAACATGCTTACGCCAACACATACCAATTCCATTGTTTGACATTTTCAAGATTTAAATCAGCAGTGGTCTTGAAAAAGTCAAACAATGGAATTTATAGAGTAAAATAACAGTGGTTTTAACCTCTTCCATTATGAGAGCCAATTAAAGTTTTAACAACATGAGCATGGAATGTTTTACGCCACAAATTAGGCCTACTGAATTACATCAGCATTTTAAGACAGTTGTGCTCCAAATTCTGTCATTAACTATACAATCATTAAGATGGAATTTCAGGCTTCTTCATGTGATTTTGTAGACTGAATACATGAGCAATAAATACTCATTCAAATAAGGTTTTATATAAAAGTAGGTCTCCCAATACAAGTACAAAGCAGCTACACAGATTCTAAAAGTTTACATAAGTGCCACGGTATGACCAAAAAACAAGAGTATCATTAAACAAACCACACAAACATTATTTAACTTGTACACTTACGAACATGAATGGAGAAATACTGGCCCTGTAATTTGCTCCAAAGCATTACTCCTCAAGGTAAGGGATGAAATCTGTGAAGTACAAAGAAAAGCAAAGTTAAAAGATTTTGTTTTAAATACAAAATTATTTTAAAGATTCTTATATACAGGGCTTCTCTATAATTTGTTTTTGTATTGAATTGTTTCTGTATTGAATTTAGGAGTTCTGTAGCTCAGTGGTTAGAGCAGTCGACTTGCAAACGAGAGACTTGGGTTCGATTCCCGACAAGGCGAAACCTTGGGCAAGTTTCCTTACTCCACACTGATAATAATCTCTCAAGAAAAAAAAACAATAATAGAAATGGTGATTTCAATCCAGGACTGTTTGTGGGACACTGCTGTGCACAATTGGCTGCCGCGTTTTACCCACAAATATACAGTCAATTCACTTTACAGTATATTGTGTGAAGCGCTTTGAGACGTCTAGAAGATGTGAAAAGCGCGATTTCAAATGAAAGGATTATTTTTATTTTAATTGAACAGAACACTTTGAAGGGACATCCCTCAAAATTGTTGGTGATAATGTGTTTATCTAATTCCAGGATGCATTAGTCACAGGATGGCAAGAACCAAGGCTTGGAGCCCCCAAAGTGTGCGTTGCAGGAGTCTAATCAACTAAAACTGCATAGCTTGCTATTGCAAGCACTATCTGGCAAGCTTTTCTGCTGCTTGTCCAGGTGGGTCCACCTGATCCATTAGGACCTTGGCTTGCAGGGTTAATACAAACAACTTGTACTTATATGGTATTCTCCACTCAAGGTAGCGTCTCAGAGCGGTTAACAGTGGCGGAACCTGACTCCAAGCTGGGGGTTGTGGAGGTAGCCGTAAGCATAGTCGAAGAGGAAGGTTTTCAGTTGGGACTTGAAAAGGGGGAGAGAGGGAGCAAATCAGAGGGATTGAGGGAGCGTGTTCCAGAGTTTTGGTGCTTAGTGGCTGAAAGCGCGACCTCCGATGGTGGGACAGAGGGTGCAAGGGACAAGCAGGAGACCGGTGTCAGTCGGCACCGAGTGGTGGATTGGAGAGTGAGGAAGTCAGAGAGGTAGGGAGGTGCCAGGGAGTGAATGGATTTGAACAATGCCCTGGTCCTGAGGACCCATGTGGCTCAGGAAGTGGACTACCGAGATGGCCAGATGCTTGCCTCAATTCGGACATTCCGTTGTCAAACATGTCACCTTGGAACCAGTTCCGCTCCAAGGAGACCCTGCTTACCTCCCTCTCAAGGAGGATAGTCACTAGTTGGTCATTTGACATCCGACAAGCGCGGGTTTGAGTCCCCACTAGGTAGAAGGCAGATACCAGGAATTCCCTGCAAGCTTCCAGGTGGGCAACAGAGCTAAGCATGAAATTTGTGACATTGTCACCTAAATTTATTTAACTACAGCTAAATGACATAAAGGGAATCCAGAGCAATACTTGGAGGTATGCTAAGGCAATAGGTCAAGAGAGCACATTGTGAAAAGGTCATTTTAGGACAGACACAACAAAGCATTTGATTTTACAGAAGTATGTTTTTACAAAGGATAATTAATAGCTGGAATAGTTTACAAGGATGGTTGAGGCCAGGACACTGGACTCAATTAAGAAACAGTTTGAAGTGATAATGGGAGAAGTACAGTCTGTATTCTGTCAGAATAAGAACAAATGAGCTGAAAGACCCAACTGATCTTGTGATATAATTGTGTCCCCTTTTTCCAGTGAAACCTATTAGATTAGCCTAAAAAAACATTTTGCAGCATTCTAATTAAGAGCCAAATACTCGCAAGTGATTTAGCTACCAGACTAAGCTTGTCTGTTTTCAAAACAGATTCACAGAGTGATTTTTACAGTTGTTACTTCGAGAAATACATGCAACTTCACATCAAGTAGCTTTTAGCAAGATTTGGCAAAATGTTCCTAGTTAAATCTGTGTTTCAGATGAGTCTGGAAATAGTTCAACCAGTTAAAGGCACACAAACAATTTATTCACAACAGTAAGTTTATTAGACCCTTTATTAATTTGTATTCCTCCTGCCACCTACATTGTATTGTACACTTAGATATCTACTACATTTTAAAAATAGAGAAAATAAACACCAGGTTCTTATTTTAAAGTGTGTTGAAATTTCACTATACCATGATCAAAGACCATTAGTTTTTTTTGAAAAATTATTTTTTACCAAAAAATACTGAACTTTTTTAAAAATCGATAACAAATTTTCTTCCAAACTTGACTTATAAATCTGAATTAACCATTTTATCTTCAATGTTTGGGATGATGGGTATGCATCAGTTTCTGGAAATGTGTATACCTTGATTTGTAAATTCATTTTTGTCGCTGTGGCTACTATAGAAACATCATGAAAATGCAATTAATTTACTTGGTAGAAAATTCAGGATTCAGAAAGAGATACAGAGAAAGAGAGACTCTGAGGGCGAGGGGGAAACAGAGAAAGAATTTGAGTGAAGTTCCCTGATTTTGTTATCAACTTTCCCCCCCCCCTCAATTTTCTCTTGTATCTTGACATCAAAAATACACCGCAACAAAACTAAAAATATTTGGGTTTTTATTAGCCATCTGCCATAGCAAAATACAATCAACAAATCGGAAGAACAACATTGTTCAATACCAGTTAAAATGAATATAAACAAGATTATATTCCACGAATGTTGGGCTATTTCTGCAATCTTATACACCTGATATATGAACAGAGGTTTAAGGTGACAATCTGCAACATGTGTAAGCTTGCCCTCTTTACTGACCTAACAATGCACTTAGTATCATCTACTTGAATAATGCTGTGTCTACTGGTACAAGCAATTTATTCCAACTAATGATCGTCAAGCACTCATAAATCAGTATTAGATCTCAGTTACTGAGCTGGTGGATTCCACTTAAACAGATACAAGTAGCATTCAAATTTCTGGCTAGATATTGGCACACATATTGATTTTAATTAGCCTAATTAGTTCATTATGTTGCTGAATCAAACAGCTCATTTACTGCATTCCTCTGGCCTAATGACATACGATCAAGGTTTAATATGATAATGAAGCAAATCAATTATCAACCATAAATGCAATAATTAAGAAGTGTAAACACTGCACCCGTGAGTTTGCAAAATGCATAAAAATACAGCAAATGATTAACAATTTTGTCAGATACATGAAAATTCAACTCCCACAACAGCAGATTGCTGAGTTGGCATGTCTAGAACAGCTTCCGGATTTAAGTGGAATTTTATTGAGAATCAGCCAATTACCTTCCACTTAATTGCAAAAACTTCTGGTCCTGATTTTCTCCATAGATCCTATCTAAACAGAACTCACTTAATTGAATATGCTCCCATAGATAAACTAATTATTTGCAGAAATTGTGGTCTTCTAATTGATTCTCTGTTATTTTTTCATCAGAGTTCACTGCTTCATCTAACAAGAAACAATCAGAATCCAAATGATACCAACAGATTAGCTATAAGAGTATACCATTTTGAGATTTAAATACCCAAAAAACTAATAATTTAAATTGGACACTAAAGTTAGATTTCAGTACTTTCGTTTTTAGAAATAGCAGGTCAAGCAAGCAGCAAGTTCATCGATCTGCAACGCACAATTTATACTTCATTCATTTTGGTGCAATTAAACATTATCTTAATATAACACAAGCATATAATTGTAAAATTAAAGGACCACGCCAGGAAAAGGCTATTTAATATGTCTAATCAGCCTGTGGCAAATTAGCTCAGCAGACTGTCCTTTCACCTCTGGGATCTGTGTTTGAGTGAAGCCCAGAACAATGGAATGAAAGACTCTGCTGGTTTTTACCAGTTTAACATAAAATCTGTTCAAAGTGAGAAATGTGTTCAAACTTGTAAGTGACATGTGCCCATAATTCTGCCCAGATTTATTCAGTGAGGTCAGGGGATAACTGGTATGAGAAAAGGAAACCATTGCACTAATCTTGACGTCAATATGCTTTTCAAATGTATTTTGTTGTTGTTATTGTTGTAATGCAGATGGGAAAGACTCTGAAGTTAGAGTCCTTGTGACAGAGCAGAGGAAGCTTTACCTCATCACTAAAAATATGTGCGTTATACCTCGACTGAGACCCCAATACTATCACAAAGTACTTGTAAAGTGCGTGCATTTTGTAGCACCAGTGTCCCTCATCTTGATTAACACAGAAATTCAGATATGTTTCTGAATCAAAACTACACTCTTTACTGAATCGATGACTGTGATATGCTTTATTGATTTCAATGATGAGGAGGATAGATAGTAAAACATCATGTCTCAGTGATGAATCCTGCAAATGTCACAGTAATTTGCAGTTTAATATGAAACTAGTAAATTACTCTTTTAAAATACCTTCAAGAGTTAAAATAATATACAACCTGGCCGAAATTGTTTTTATAAGGAAATGCTCGGAGAAGAAAGTAATTTAGTAATAATTTCAGGCCACTGCAGACCATTAGGCTGCCGGCCCATACAATTTCCTACAAGATTCCATTGATGCATCTATCCCTAAATCTTGCAATCGTGAATCCTGTTATTTGACAAGAGCTTCTCTCTTTCCTTTTTGAAACTGTGGTTTATTATTCTGTGCTGCTGGTGTGTTCCATATGCCCATAATCGTTTTACTTAAAAAAAAGTCTCCTGTATTTTCCATTCTCTTTTTGTGCTCTATTTTTGAAGATATTCTACAAGGATGAGGTGAAATAAAGAAGGGCTTTCTTCATCAGAACTTCTCATGACCTGTGATACAACCTCTCTTTCTTAAAATTTGCACACGGCAGAAATTTTTACCTAAAACCAATTTTACAAACGCTTCCTAATCTTAAAAATCTCTTCTTTGCCTCTCACCACCTTTCTATGTTTTAGATTGAAAAGAATCAATTCATTCCTATAGCTGTTGCAGGTTGAAGTAATGGCAACAGAACTCCATCAGAAAGAAAATGAGAGAATAACAAAGGGAGAGACCATAACAAATAAACTAGAACAGATGGAAAGAATATATAAAAAAATTAAATGCAACAACTCATCAACAACGTATTATA